CCTTTTGGTAGCTAGTTCCTCCTTTGCCTTAGGTCGAAATTCACTCGCCTCGTTTGTTGACGAAACTGATAGGAACGATGTTTCATATCCTAGTCCGTTACGTTAATTCACAAAGATTATTCTTTGTTAGTAAGAGTTCTTGTCTATGGAACCGACGTGAGACAAGAAAACTATTTTTGTTGAGCCGAGACGGAAAAGGGAATTTACAGAGCTTGGTTCTATTTCCATGCAGCGAAATCTTAAAACTAGGCTTGTAACGAGTAAATATATAGTTAAACAGTTCATCTGTACGTTTTTACCACGACGAAAAACGGGTCATTTTGATCTGTAGGTTATGTTCAACTAAATAATTCTTAATGAACAGGCTGATTGAGATTTATCTTAGGATTTATGGTCTGTTTTAGGCACTGGAAGGATTTTATGAAAAAGTCTGCAATCCAGAGAACAAGGGTGCTGTGTTTCTTGCCGTTTGCCTAGGAAAGGTATGGTGTCTACCGCATTTTTCCAACGTATTAATACCAAAGTCATTAAACACAGAAAGTTAAGACAGCTTGTCAGGCTGTACAGTAATAAGCTCTTGGTTAATCAGCTGAAATCTTGTCAGATTTGGTGGAAACAGGTGATAATTTCATGTCCAGAGTCAACGAATATTATCTTTGATTCTAACCCTCTATTATAAGTAGTTGGGCAAGAGTTAGGGTGAGGTTTAGTATAAAAATTAAGTTACGATTATTTTTGTGGAGCTTGGACATGAAACGAGCTATGGACATGAAACTATGATCGAATACAAGTCAAACACATCCGGATAGCAGATCGTAAAAAGAATTGATACAAGCCTCAGATGTTTTACAAGAAACTCGTGTGTTTCTCACGTTTAGTTCAGCGAAGGTGTTGACTTCAGTGATATCAACGGTCGTGCTGTCGTCAGTGGCGTCGCTAGGGGGGGAACTGGGGGGGACTCGTCCCCCCCACTTATTCTAAAGACCACTTTTAGAACTTTTCTAAATCTGAAGAGAAAAGGGGGGGGGGGGTACAATGATTCTAATTTCCAACAGCAGAGTAAATAAAGAAATTTTCGAATTAACATTACTTTTGATCATGTAAAGAATAGCATTAGAATAACATAGTCAGCATATAGAAAGAGACATTGCTGATAAAATTGAGTTGGATGCTCTTGTTGACACATTTAGATTAGGCTGATTAGCTAACAACAAAAAGTTCCCCTTGTAAAAACTGTTTGTTTATAACAAAAATCTCCGATCTGTGGCTTTCGGATTGTCATAAAACTTTGCTGAAAATGCGGGAAATAGCGTTTTAGAGACCCTAGAAATAAAAATTTTCTCGGGGGTGAATGCCCCCGAACCCCCCTAGAGGTCTTGCGCTTTGGTGCCTCGTCCCCCCCAGTCTGAGCGACCTGGCGACGCCACTGGCTGTCGTCACAACTGGTTTACCTTATCCACCGGATTTTGATCCAAAGGTTTGGTTTTCGATTAACAACCTAGCTAATGCTGTTTTAATATTCGCAAAATTAAATTGGAAAATGAGTCTTTTGATTATCGCTCAGCCGATAATAGGAATACGTTGAGATTTGTGGTTACTTAAGTTTGATTTATTAATAATATGGCTTTTCAAGATCTCTACTCTGATTGGTTGGTCGTGAAACACACATCCGTCGGCCAATAATCAGTTATTATTACCCCAGTTATGGTAAAAATCTATTATCTCTAGACATCTTTTCCCAAGTTCAAAAACATTTTTTGTTTTCCCTCGCATTTCAGGTGGAATTGAAAAAAACAACTCCTAGATGAGGTGGTAAACAAAAGAGAATTTAAGGTTGGTTATAAAGTGGTTCTAATCATCATAATTTCTTTAATAGAAATAAACTATTAAAATTGTTTTGTGTTTTTACAATCCTATACGAAATGAGAAATATGTGGCAATTCCGGACTCCAAAGTCAATTTAGCCCGTATTCAAATAGGGAAACTCTTGTGCTGAGAATTTTATCTGAAGCTCTATCAATTCAAATCCTGACTGTGATCTCAAAGTCATATATCATTGTTTATACCATCACTACCACAATAGTTTTAATAAACTTCTTCTGAGTCAGGAACAAATGTAGGTACTATTTGACTCATAACCTTGTATTTTCAGGGATTAAATTATTGGTCAACAACGGTATGGTCAGCAGGCATCTCGAGCTGTCAATCAAGCCATCGGTCGTGCATTACGTCATAAAGAAGATTATGGAGCCATACTCCTTTGTGACGAGAGGTGTGTTTCTTAAACTTTAACATGGTCCAACAAAATTTTGGATGAGAATTACCGAAAACTCTGCCAAATGACCCTGCATATCCGTTCTAATCTGATACACAGCTTCTGGTCTACGGGTACAGTAGCCTTATTTTGTTCAATGAATCTCCATCGGACTTCATATCTAAAATGCGTTTCCAGTAGTCAAACTTTGACCTGTTGGGGCAAACAAGATTTTATTATAAAACATGTAAACAGCTTGAATTTCTATTGAGCAAAATAAGGCTACCCATACCCGTAGACTGCTTCAGGGTGAATTAAACTTTTAATACTTAGTGGGAGGGACGTTTTCAGTTAAAACGTGACTTTTCTGTCTAATTTAAACTGTTATATGATTAGTCCTTGCACCGCCAAACCAGGTCAGATGAGATCCATTTAGGCAAGCGAGTTTGTTGAATTGACGGAGAGACAACAATTTAAACTTAAACAAAAACTACCCCGTATTTTGGTTTTTGTGTCTTTAAGATCTGAACACCAAAATAACACGTTACATCTCCAAGCGCTTTTAAATATCGATGTTGTCTATATTGTGGAAATCCCATCTTTTCATGTCTAATGAACGTGTCGCTCTTGGGCCAGCTGTTTGTAAAATGGATGAAGTTATCACCTGGATAGTTTTTTTCAAACGTAGAAAGGACCTACTGACCAACTAACCTAGCATGACCAACTGATTGAGCCTTACAAATTTATTTAAAATAGTTAAAAAATACATATATGTGATATATATTACAAAATTTAGTTTTAAAAATTTTAGCTTTTTAATTCTTTTTCAGTTTGCGCGAATTTTCGGCTGAACTTTGCCCGAACTTTTTAGTTCTCGAAATTTTGTCTCGTACACCTATGGGGACGAAGCAGGAAAACTGTTACAATTTTTCTATGGCTTTTCCAATTAAACAGCTGAGAAAAAATTGGTTCACCTTCTGTAGCCTTTATACTCCTGTCACATGAATCCTGTGCCCAACGGTATATTTATGTTTGGATTTCAGCAACTATTGAGGCGAGCACATCCACAGATTCAGCCAACGAGCGAACAGTCGCGTTGTTCATCGACTGTTTGTTCAACTTTAAGGTTTTGAATGCTTTCTGCACTATCAGATTGAACACTTGACTGCGTTTGTTTCGCCACGGTATATAGAACCGCCAGGCAGCATAACCTCGCCGGTTTATGATCGACTGTCATCAACAGTGTTGAATTCTCAGTGTTAGTAGCCCTGTCTACGCTAGCAGTCACGCTTGCAAGATCACACATAGCTTCACCCGAGTACGAATTTCTTTCGCATTCTTTCCATCAACTACCAGGAACTTTGTGTTTTTTAGCCAGAGAATCGTAAAACCTTCCGCCTCAAAAAGTCTCATTTCATTTGCTGGCGATGACCACGTTCCTCTTAGGATAAGACCATCCCTTACGAATTCTTTCAAGCTGTACTAGCTAATTGCGAGTACTTCAGCATAAATATGTTCACTACTTCATTCTCGAAAATTCTCATTACCACGCGCTCTTTTTGTTGATATTGTCGCTGACTCAATGTCTCGCTTGCTCACCAAAACTCGCGTGCGCAAAAGTATTAATTATCCACGTCAACAAAGGACCGCTCATTTCTCCAAATATTTCGAGAGGCTCACATTTCGCGAATAGTTCGTTGCAAATTGTTTTCAAAAGCGTTGTTATTTTGTGGTTCACTATTCTATATTGAAATTATCGAGAAAATATGTAAGTATATTTTACGATTTTGGGTAAAAACACTGTGGTGTATTCATAATTTTTTTTGTCTCAGTTCATTTATACCACATATTAACCGAATTTGAAGTCCGTACTAGAAGAATATCAGACCGAGGTCTTGACAGTACGGACCGAGCAATAGCGAGGTCCGTACATAAAAGACCGAGGTCTGATATTTTTCCAGTACGGACCGAACGTATTCGGTTAATAAGGGATTTATTATATTGCATACAGCATTTAGTTTATTTATTTATACATTGCGCTGCAGTTGCAGCATTCTTGCCGGCTTTTTCGCCAGGCAGTCGCCAAGCAAGCACTGAAGCAGCTTCCGAAACTTTGTTTTTTGCTCGTTAAATAAGAATGATACAGTATTAAATATAAACAAAAGTCAAAGATGAATAAATATAATATTCACATGTACCAAATAATGCTCTTCTTCGTCCATTCTCCGTCGATATTTTTCGTGTCAAAAATAAAAGTGCAAGCTTGTTTTTGTTCAAAAATACGAGAGTTGGACCGTTACTACGGCAACGGTCTAATACTGGGGGATTCCAGACCGGCAAAGAACACACAGCGCACGCCATTTTAGTCACGAGACCGCGTGCCATATAATAATGCGTATTATTAAGTGGCTTAATATAAAAAATATAAAGGGAGGAACGTGTTACCACAGTTCCGCTTGTGTTTTGGAAGGAAGAGAATTTAGTTCACTTTCGAAAGCGAGGAAGTAAACTGGACGTTTTTATATTTGATTTAAGAGTAGAAATCGAAACCATACTAAAATACGGCAGCTTAGCGCAACGAATAAAGTAAACGCGCGCGCAAATAAAAACGCGCGGGTAACTCCCCAACGCACGTACCACGTCAAATCACAGCTTTGTAATCGGAATTTTTCTGTAACTCTTTTACATTTAGGCGTATGAATGGCCTAGAATTGAATTCTGTGTTTCACTCTCTAAACGTGTACAACATGGTCTCTTCCTTGGATTTATAATAATTATAAAATGGTCTTCGCCTTCGATTTACAATTATGTTTTTAAAATTGTAGAGCACTGATTGCTCTCCCCAGCCTTATGCTCGGTGCGCGTGTGAGGCACGGATGAGAGCAATATGGCGGAAAGCAAGAGTGGCCGAAAGAAGAAAACGTCGGCTGAGCACATGGCTCGCCTGGCAGATATGGTGCGAGAGAACAGCCAGAAGAAAAAGAAACCTGTTCAGGTTGTTTTCAAGAGACACCCATCTACAGGAATGCGGATCCACACGTCTAAATACAGACCTGGAAGAAAAAATATAAGACCTACGGCTACGGCTACAGGAAAGCGACCAGCATGCCTGTCTCCTGAAAGAACATTGGAAGAACGCGAGTTGTCCGGTGTGTATTTACTTATTTTTAACTGTAAGACTAACTAAATTTACCGGCTATTTTTCAATCAAATAACTACTCAGTATTTTAGTGAAATTACAAATTTATATGCCTACAATTAGCACAATACTTTTCATGATTTCATGTGCATGTATTAAATTTGATGTATATATATTTTGTGTAAATGCTGCATTTCTCATTGAGTCTCTTATTTTAATACATTTTAGAGTTTCTAACATTCCCTAAAACTGTATTCCTTATTTTTGACAGTGTCTAGTGCATAGTTTAAACTACTTTCAGTAGTTTTAGGTGTTATAATATCGTATACACATTATATACATATTTTATAGCAATTTTGCAGGTAGACTTGTGGTAAATATGCTGTATGTAGGCCTACAAATATATACTTACGTATAAGATAATTTAATATATATCACTTCTTATTGTTATTAAATAATATCCCTTTATATTTGATAGGAGACATCTCCTGGGATAGTGAAATGTGCACAGAAATTGATAGTGACCATGATTCCATTTGTAAAAGTGGTAAGGCAATTTATCTATCTGGTATCATGTTGACTTCCACATTATACAGTAAGTACTAGACTAAACATTCTTTGCCACATTTTAACACAGATGCATTGGATAACCTCATAATTGAAACCCAGATGTTTCTGGATAATTGCAAGAAGAAAAAGGTTATGTCCTGGAAAGAACGAAAGAAGAATGCCAACATTTGCTGGGAATCGTCCAGGCCTAAGATCTTCAAGGCAATGGTAGAGATGCAAACCCCCGGTGAAGCTTTGTGCAGTATTTGTGAGGAGGTACCTGCATTAATCCGCTGCTTTCAATGTATTGGAGGTCACCAAAACTTTTGTGGATCTTGTGATGTCGATTGGCATAGGATGCTACCATTTCATGACAGAGAGATTTTTCAGGCTGGGTATTATGAATATGTACCATCTACAATGGGTTTAAGTAATGAATCCCAAGTTATCACCATCAGTAAGTAAGAAGCATAAATGCAAATGCTGTGACTTGGCAACCTCTTACAAAAAATTCCACATGACTGTGTTCCAAAATCACATGTGATCACATGTGATTTTGGAACACAGTCATGTGGACTTTTTTTAGGGGACATTTGGCCTCATTATTACCTATTAAAAGTATTATATAAATATTCTTATTCAATAGCAAACCACAATATACAAGTTACAGTACTCTATATAGGTCAGGTTTCACACTGCATGGTGGTCAAAGTCAAAAGTGTTCACTCTGATAGATGAAAGTATCAGGACAAGAATCAATATCATTTACCAGTTATAACTGCATGTTGATAACGAAATGTTCTTGCCATAAATTGGTTTAATAATGAAAACTACCTAATGTAGATATCTTTCTTTTCAATTGACAGATATTTGTATAAAACATTTGGTGTCTAAATTTTGCAATTTAACATGTACCTGAGATTCTACTCTGAAAGTAACTACCGTACAGAGTTTTTGCTGTACAAAATATGCTGTACCAGTAAACATTATTTATTCTGTATATACAATGTTCTCTTAATAGAAAAGTCTGTTCCTGTTTATCGAAAGCCTAAGAAGTGCCCAAGCTGTGATGAAAACAATGGATTTGACCCAATATTCAGTGATGGCCAGATAATTGTTATTACTCTAAGAGGTTCTGTACTGAATTTGTTACATGTAGCTTCCAGAATATTAGTACTGTACACTTGACATTGGAGCTTTTCAGTAAAGAACTGTATTGTGTATTTTGTTTGCCTGCATTACCAATTTATTATCCCAGACCACTTTATTTGGCACCTAATTGTTATCTTTCACTCTGCCAACTGAACGATAAGACAAACGTTCCTGGCAAAATCCCATTAGTGTTGATATCTACATTAGGTAGTTTTCATTATAAACCAATTTATGGCAAGAACATTTCGTTATCAACATGCAGTTATAACTGGTAAATGATATTGATTCTTGTCTTGATACTTTCATCTATCAGAGTGAACACTTTTGACTTTGACCACCATGCAGTGTGAAACCTGACCTATATAGAGTACTGTAACTTGTATATTGTGGTTTGCTATTGAATAAGAATATTTATATAATACTTTTAATAGGTAATAATGAGGCCAAATGTCCCCTAAAAAAAGTCCACATGACTGTGTTCCAAAATCACATGTGATTTTGGAACACAGTCATGTGGAATTTTTTGTAAGAGGTTGCCAAGTCACAGCATTTGCATTTATGCTTCTTACTTACTGATGGTGATAACTTGGGATTCATTACTTAAACCCATTGTAGATGGTACATATTCATAATACCCAGCCTGAAAAATCTCTCTGTCATGAAATGGTAGCATCCTATGCCAATCGACATCACAAGATCCACAAAAGTTTTGGTGACCTCCAATACATTGAAAGCAGCGGATTAATGCAGGTACCTCCTCACAAATACTGCACAAAGCTTCACCGGGGGTTTGCATCTCTACCATTGCCTTGAAGATCTTAGGCCTGGACGATTCCCAGCAAATGTTGGCATTCTTCTTTCGTTCTTTCCAGGACATAACCTTTTTCTTCTTGCAATTATCCAGAAACATCTGGGTTTCAATTATGAGGTTATCCAATGCATCTGTGTTAAAATGTGGCAAAGAATGTTTAGTCTAGTACTTACTGTATAATGTGGAAGTCAACATGATACCAGATAGATAAATTGCCTTACCACTTTTACAAATGGAATCATGGTCACTATCAATTTCTGTGCACATTTCACTATCCCAGGAGATGTCTCCTATCAAATATAAAGGGATATTATTTAATAACAATAAGAAGTGATATATATTAAATTATCTTATACGTAAGTATATATTTGTAGGCCTACATACAGCATATTTACCACAAGTCTACCTGCAAAATTGCTATAAAATATGTATATAATGTGTATACGATATTATAACACCTAAAACTACTGAAAGTAGTTAAACTATGCACTAGACACTGTCAAAAATAAGGAATACAGTTTTAGGGAATGTTAGAAACTCTAAAATGTATTAAAATAAGAGACTCAATGAGAAATGCAGCATTTACACAAAATATATATACATCAAATTTAATACATGCACATGAAATCATGAAAAGTATTGTGCTAATTGTAGGCATATAAATTTGTAATTTCACTAAAATACTGAGTAGTTATTTGATTGAAAAATAGCCGGTAAATTTAGTTAGTCTTACAGTTAAAAATAAGTAAATACACACCGGACAACTCGCGTTCTTCCAATGTTCTTTCAGGAGACAGGCATGCTGGTCGCTTTCCTGTAGCCGTAGCCGTAGGTCTTATATTTTTTCTTCCAGGTCTGTATTTAGACGTGTGGATCCGCATTCCTGTAGATGGGTGTCTCTTGAAAACAACCTGAACAGGTTTCTTTTTCTTCTGGCTGTTCTCTCGCACCATATCTGCCAGGCGAGCCATGTGCTCAGCCGACGTTTTCTTCTTTCGGCCACTCTTGCTTTCCGCCATATTGCTCTCATCCGTGCCTCACACGCGCACCGAGCATAAGGCTGGGGAGAGCAATCAGTGCTCTACAATTTTAAAAACATAATTGTAAATCGAAGGCGAAGACCATTTTATAATTATTATAAATCCAAGGAAGAGACCATGTTGTACACGTTTAGAGAGTGAAACACAGAATTCAATTCTAGGCCATTCATACGCCTAAATGTAAAAGAGTTACAGAAAAATTCCGATTACAAAGCTGTGATTTGACGTGGTACGTGCGTTGGGGAGTTACCCGCGCGTTTTTATTTGCGCGCGCGTTTACTTTATTCGTTGCGCTAAGCTGCCGTATTTTAGTATGGTTTCGATTTCTACTCTTAAATCAAATATAAAAACGTCCAGTTTACTTCCTCGCTTTCGAAAGTGAACTAAATTCTCTTCCTTCCAAAACACAAGCGGAACTGTGGTAACACGTTCCTCCCTTTATATTTTTTATATTAAGCCACTTAATAATACGCATTATTATATGGCACGCGGTCTCGTGACTAAAATGGCGTGCGCTGTGTGTTCTTTGCCGGTCTGGAATCCCCCAGTATTAGACCGTTGCCGTAGTAACGGTCCAACTCTCGTATTTTTGAACAAAAACAAGCTTGCACTTTTATTTTTGACACGAAAAATATCGACGGAGAATGGACGAAGAAGAGCATTATTTGGTACATGTGAATATTATATTTATTCATCTTTGACTTTTGTTTATATTTAATACTGTATCATTCTTATTTAACGAGCAAAAAACAAAGTTTCGGAAGCTGCTTCAGTGCTTGCTTGGCGACTGCCTGGCGAAAAAGCCGGCAAGAATGCTGCAACTGCAGCGCAATGTATAAATAAATAAACTAAATGCTGTATGCAATATAATAAATCCCTTATTAACCGAATACGTTCGGTCCGTACTGGAAAAATATCAGACCTCGGTCTTTTATGTACGGACCTCGCTATTGCTCGGTCCGTACTGTCAAGACCTCGGTCTGATATTCTTCTAGTACGGACTTCAAATTCGGTTAATATGTGGTATAAATGAACTGAGACAAAAAAAATTATGAATACACCACAGTGTTTTTACCCAAAATCGTAAAATATACTTACATTTTCTCGATAATTTCAATATAGAATAGTGAACCACAAAATAACAACGCTTTTGAAAACAATTTGCAACGAACTATTCGCGAAATGTGAGCCTCTCGAAATATTTGGAGAAATGAGCGGTCCTTTGTTGACGTGGATAATTAATACTTTTGCGCACGCGAGTTTTGGTGAGCAAGCGAGACATTGAGTCAGCGACAATATCAACAAAAAGAGCGCGTGGTAATGAGAATTTTCGAGAATGAAGTAGTGAACATATTTATGCTGAAGTACTCGCAATTAGCTAGTACAGCTTGAAAGAATTCGTAAGGGATGGTCTTATCCTAAGAGGAACGTGGTCATCGCCAGCAAATGAAATGAGACTTTTTGAGGCGGAAGGTTTTACGATTCTCTGGCTAAAAAACACAAAGTTCCTGGTAGTTGATGGAAAGAATGCGAAAGAAATTCGTACTCGGGTGAAGCTATGTGTGATCTTGCAAGCGTGACTGCTAGCGTAGACAGGGCTACTAACACTGAGAATTCAACACTGTTGATGACAGTCGATCTATAAACCGGCGAGGTTATGCTGCCTGGCGGTTCTATATACCGTGGCGAAACAAACGCAGTCAAGTGTTCAATCTGATAGTGCAGAAAGCATTCAAAACCTTAAAGTTGAACAAACAGTCGATGAACAACGCGACTGTTCGCTCGTTGGCTGAATCTGTGGATGTGCTCGCCTCAATAGTTGCTGAAATCCAAACATAAATATACCGTTGGGCACAGGATTCATGTGACAGGAGTATAAAGGCTACAGAAGGTGAACCAATTTTTTCTCAGCTGTTTAATTGGAAAAGCCATAGAAAAATTGTAACAGTTTTCCTGCTTCGTCCCCATAGGTGTACGAGACAAAATTTCGAGAACTAAAAAGTTCGGGCAAAGTTCAGCCGAAAATTCGCGCAAACTGAAAAAGAATTAAAAAGCTAAAATTTTTAAAACTAAATTTCGTAATATATATCACATATATGTATTTTTTAACTATTTTAAATAAATTTGTAAGGCTCAATCAGTTGGTCATGCTAGGTTAGTTGGTCAGTAGGTCCTTTCTACGTTTGAAAAAAACTATCCAGGTGATAACTTCATCCATTTTACAAACAGCTGGCCCAAGAGCGACACGTTCATTAGACATGAAAAGATGGGATTTCCACAATATAGACAACATCGATATTTAAAAAGCGCTTGGAGATGTAACGTGTTATTTTGGTGTTCAGATCTTAAAGACACAAAAACCAAAATACGGGGTAGTTTTTGTTTAAGTTTAAATTGTTGTCTCTCCGTCAATTCAACAAACTCGCTTGCCTAAATGGATCTCATCTGACCTGGTTTGGCGGTGCAAGGACTAATCATATAACAGTTTAAATTAGACAGAAAAGTCACGTTTTAACTGAAAACGTCCCTCCCACTAAGTATTAAAAGTTTAATTCACCCTGAAGCAGTCTACGGGTATGGGTAGCCTTATTTTGCTCAATAGAAATTCAAGCTGTTTACATGTTTTATAATAAAAATCTTGTTTGCCCCAACAGGTCAAAGTTTGACTACTGGAAACGCATTTTAGATATGAAGTCCGATGGAGATTCATTGAACAAAATAAGGCTACTGTACCCGTAGACCAGAAGCTGTGTATCAGATTAGAACGGATATGCAGGGTCATTTGGCAGAGTTTTCGGTAATTCTCATCCAAAATTTGTTGGACCATGTTAAAGTTTAAGAAACACACCTCTCGTCACAAAGGAGTATGGCTCCATAATCTTCTTTATGACGTAATGCACGACCGATGGCTTGATTGACAGCTCGAGATGCCTGCTGACCATACCGTTGTTGACCAATAATTTAATCCCTGAAAATACAAGGTTATGAGTCAAATAGTACCTACATTTGTTCCTGACTCAGAAGAAGTTTATTAAACTATTGTGGTAGTGATGGTATAAACAATGATATATGACTTTGAGATCACAGTCAGGATTTGAATTGATAGAGCTTCAGATAAAATTCTCAGCACAAGAGTTTCCCTATTTGAATACGGGCTAAATTGACTTTGGAGTCCGGAATTGCCACATATTTCTCATTTCGTATAGGATTGTAAAAACACAAAACAATTTTAATAGTTTATTTCTATTAAAGAAATTATGATGATTAGAACCACTTTATAACCAACCTTAAATTCTCTTTTGTTTACCACCTCATCTAGGAGTTGTTTTTTTCAATTCCACCTGAAATGCGAGGGAAAACAAAAAATGTTTTTGAACTTGGGAAAAGATGTCTAGAGATAATAGATTTTTACCATAACTGGGGTAATAATAACTGATTATTGGCCGACGGATGTGTGTTTCACGACCAACCAATCAGAGTAGAGATCTTGAAAAGCCATATTATTAATAAATCAAACTTAAGTAACCACAAATCTCAACGTATTCCTATTATCGGCTGAGCGATAATCAAAAGACTCATTTTCCAATTTAATTTTGCGAATATTAAAACAGCATTAGCTAGGTTGTTAATCGAAAACCAAACCTTTGGATCAAAATCCGGTGGATAAGGTAAACCAGTTGTGACGACAGCACGACCGTTGATATCACTGAAGTCAACACCTTCGCTGAACTAAACGTGAGAAACACACGAGTTTCTTGTAAAACATCTGAGGCTTGTATCAATTCTTTTTACGATCTGCTATCCGGATGTGTTTGACTTGTATTCGATCATAGTTTCATGTCCATAGCTCGTTTCATGTCCAAGCTCCACAAAAATAATCGTAACTTAATTTTTATACTAAACCTCACCCTAACTCTTGCCCAACTACTTATAATAGAGGGTTAGAATCAAAGATAATATTCGTTGACTCTGGACATGAAATTATCACCTGTTTCCACCAAATCTGACAAGATTTCAGCTGATTAACCAAGAGCTTATTACTGTACAGCCTGACAAGCTGTCTTAACTTTCTGTGTTTAATGACTTTGGTATTAATACGTTGGAAAAATGCGGTAGACACCATACCTTTCCTAGGCAAACGGCAAGAAACACAGCACCCTTGTTCTCTGGATTGCAGACTTTTTCATAAAATCCTTCCAGTGCCTAAAACAGACCAAATCCTAAGATAAATCTCAATCAGCCTGTTCATTAAGAATTATTTAGTTGAACATAACCTACAGATCAAAATGACCCGTTTTTCGTCGTGGTAAAAACGTACAGATGAACTGTTTAACTATATATTTACTCGTTACAAAGCCTAGTTTTAAGATTTCGCTGCATGGAAATAGAACCAAGCTCTGTAAATTCCCTTTTCCGTCTCGGCTCAACAAAAATAGTTTTCTTGTCTCACGTCGGTTCCATAGACAAGAACTCTTACTAACAAAGAATAATCTTTGTGAATTAACGTAACGGACTAGGATATGAAACATCGTTCCTATCAGTTTCGTCAACAAACGAGGCGAGTGAATTTCGACCTAAGGCAAAGGAGGAACTAGCTACCAAAAGGTCCAGTAAGATTAATCTGTATAAAAATCACATTAGTGTTGAGGACGAACAATTCGTCTGGACGAACTTGGAAAAATATTTTTAATTCGTCTGTTAATTCGTTCGTTTATCAGAAACTACAGCATCGTTAAATCTATAGCTAAGCCTGCCAATGTCTCAGTGCTGTATCAAGGGTTCCATAGGACGGGAAAAACACCAGCATCCCATCAGGAACAACCTATGCAAAATTTACTGCAACAAAAAAGAGTTTCATGCAAACTTAAAATATAGAATCACTCATGCCCAGCATGGCAGAGGTACTCAAATACAACAGTTATATAATCTCCCTGTTAGAAGAGTTAGTTCCGGCCTCTTTAAAGCTTGCATGTGAACAGTCGAGGGGACTGCTTTTTTAGGGCAAAGTTTCTTTGTCCTAAGTGGCGAAAATTCAGACGAGTCAGACA